ATTTTTAAATTAATTTATATTTATTCTGGATGGTATAAAATTAGATGGAGAATATAACGTGGAACGTACCAGAAGAATCCGCTTAGGCCCAGTTTTAGCTTCTGAATTCAGAGTATTGGGCCGGCCCTATCCAAATCCGCCCGTTCAGGCCCATTTTGGGCCTCCAAAATATATATTTATTTATTTTAAGATGATTGAAGCCAAATATTTATAATTATTTACTGTTACATTATTATTTTGTTAATTTTTATTGATCATTTTCTCTGGCCTTAATTTGGTTTGGAAATATATATAAGATTTTTATAAAAAAAATCGTTATTTTGATTCATTTTATATTAGGTTATTATCTGTTTATTTATGTAAATCACCTTCTTTTTTATTTAAAATGAATTGCATTTATTAATACACTAATTAGCCGATTATTTTTTTTAGTTTGATACTTTATAATTTATTTTTTCAAATTTTAAGATTTAATTATGTAAAAATTTCCATGATTTGAAAAGGGAGAAGAAAAACCCATCAAAATTTGAATTATCAATCATATAATTAATAATTAATAATTTTAAAGTTTCGTCTTTCGAGAATTGTTTAGAAGTCTTTTTCACGTAATTAAAAAATGATATCATATTTGAAAGTGTATTAACATCTTAAGTGACAGTGACTCATATAATCGTGGTGGCAAATTAATATTTGGTTGTGTATATGAGTAATCCCGTTATGTCCTCAAACATCTTTTTCTATCAAATAACGACCGCTAATCAATCAACCCAAATAATTAAAAATATTTATATATTAAGAAAAATCAAAGTAAATAAAAATTATGTTTTTCTAGCAAAAGTACCGGTGATTTGTACAACAACATAAATCCAAATATTGTATATAGGTGCTCATTTTTTATCAAAAGGTTGTACACAGAGATGTACATTTAACCCTCGAGGATCCGCTCCAAAAAAGGTGGAGAATTCCCGTTTAAATGAGAAATGAAGGAGGGAGTGGAGAAGGATTTTTTCTATGAGCGAGAATTCACATTCAAAATTTGTCAAAGATCGTGACATTTTTTGAATTACAATAATGATATAATGCATGATAGGTTTCCCGAATTCATATAGTCCCACCACATTTTCTTTGACCTATATATTTCCATATGTCTTCATCCATATAATTTAGTTACAAAATTTTGGAACCTTTTCCCTTTGCAATCACTAAACAATAACCATGGATAATATCAGTAAAAAGGAAAAGGTAACACAACGACATACCCAAATGGGCCATACATCTCGAATAATACATATTGGTCGCCCACTTTTCGATACCTCAATTCAATCGATATAATTCTAAATTTTGAATTCGTGATGTAACATTGATATACTGAGAACCCTTTTCGATATTTCTTGTGTACACATTTTAGTATATTACTCTAACGGCCCAAGCCCACCACTAACACATATTGTCTTATTTGTACTTACCCTTTCTAGTCTCCTCCTCCTAAAGAGATATTTTTCAATCCAAGACCAAGCGTTCTTGCTAACACTCGTTCCCTCCTCCAATCGATGTGAGACTCCTCCCCCAATCAACACTCTTTCGAGACCCAGTGTCCTTGTTGACACACTACCTCGTGTCCACCCGTTTTCAGGACTCAACTTCCTTGCTGACACATTGCTCGGTAACTGGTTCTGATACCATTTAGTTGTTTCCTTGTTCCTCCTTATCAAGTAAAATAATAATTATTAGGGGTGTACATTAAACCTGACAATCAAAACCAACCCAACCAGAACTATAAGGGTTAGGTTGGATTGGATTAACATTTCGAGTAGGGTTTTGTTCATTTTTTCTGAACCGAACTGAATCAGTTCGGTATCGGATTCGTGGGAAAAACTTTCGGGTTGACCAGAGCCAAATAAAAATATATAAAATATATTAAGAATCTTTTTTGCAAGAGTGGTATTCTACAAGTCTTACTACATAAACTATCATTTTTTATTGATTTTTTTATGTGAATAATTATAGATTGATTTGGGTTGGTTTGTGATTTTTTAATATATTTTATCTAAAAATCTATTAAATAATTATAAATAGTGATAAATAAAGATAACAAAGACCCAACCTTAAATAAAGATAATAAAGAGAGTTGGGTTTGTTTGTGAATTTTTAATATATTTTATTTAAAAATTTATTCAAATAATTATAAACTGTGATAAATAAAACTTAAAAAAAATGGATAACTCAGACCCAACCTAAAATAGAGAGTTGAATTAGGTTGGGTTGTAAAAAATTTCGAGTTGAGTTGTGTTACGAATATGAAGCGCAATAATTATGTAATTAGTAATTAAATTTTTTTGAAATGGAAAAGAGAGAGAGGAATAATGGAAGGATAATAATTAATAGCAACCAAAATTCTAGATGACAAGGACATATAGAAGAAACCAAAAGCGAATGTGTTTGGTTTAGGAGTACGGACGAACGGATTATTTAATGGCCACATAATGAAACGAGAGAGAGAGGTAAGATCGTGTGAAAAACAGTTCGTCTTTTTGGTTCAATCCATTTTCAGAAGCAAAATTGATTCAAAACTTGTTGCTCAAACATGAACCCATGGCCCCATCTGCAGGCTGGTGATGTGAATCTTCACGTGTTGTGACAATGAGAGAGTGGCACAATTATTTGTGGCTGTAGATCATCATCATCATCATCATGCTCTTTCTCCCCCCATCGTTCTTCAACCCAAAAAAACCTAATCAATCTCCTTCTTCGAATCCCGTTCCAATGTTTTGTTGTGGACGTGTCCAAATCTCGAAACTTCTCACTTAAACTTAAAAAATATGTTTTTATCGGATTTTAACCTTCTATTTATAACAATTTAATCTAATACTATATACTCTAAAGCTCCGAAATAGATGATGGAGTTAATCCTCTTAAGGTATGTGGGTAATAGGCCTTACCTACCCCTGATAAGGTCAGAGGGTAATAAGCATTGCCTTAGCCTTTCCTACCTCAGAAGGTATGTGGGTAATTAGCACTACAGTATTATACAGAACAGAAAAGGCAAAAACCGGATAGGGCAAAAATAGGATAGGTCAAAAACTGGTAAGGTCTGGTCATAGGTATGAGCGTAAGATCAGGTCAGAGGGTAATTAGCACTTAATATTTTTTTTATTAATTTCTTTTTAAAATTTTGAATGTTTGAACCTAAGTAAATATAAATTAAAAACTATTATTTTTTCTAAATTAATTCAATTTAAATCTCCCCAAACTAGTTTGTTTTTGTTCCAATTAATTTGGCTATTTTTTAAAAAAATTAAATTCCGACCATTGCGAAGGAGGGAAGATTTAGATTAACCGAATTTAATATATATTTTATAATAATATATTCTCAAAATATTAACGAATTAACTAATTCAAACTAACAATAAATTACATTAAATTTTGACAAAATATATTATCTATCATTTCGTTTCTATAGCTTTCTTCTACATGAATTATAAATTTAGTTTCCATTGATTTTTTAATTTTAAAATAGTATATTTTTTCTCGTTTCTATTTTTTTAATTAATTAATAAATACTAACTTTTCATCATTGTTATAGTTAATTAAAAAAATTACATCATAATATTTAAATTAATTACCAACAATTCACATCAAATACAAAAAGTAAGCATTAATATTAAAAATTAAAAAGATAAAAGGTTGAAGTGAGGAGGGAAAATAGAAAATAAGTAAAAATATAACAAAATTAAAATTAAAATTAAAATTAAAGGTAAAAATATGAAAATTATAATCATTAAAAAAAATAAATAAAAACACTCCCTTTCAATAATCTCAATTATATATTATTCAATGAAAGAAACAAAACACCACTGCCCAAGTGGTCCCTCGCCGTCCAACTTTATGACAGTTAAGCATAAGGACAAGATCTTCTTTTATTTATTAATTTATATTTATATTTTGAATATTTTTCCTTTTATTCCCGATTACAGTTGTAACCTCTTGATTCAACTTTGTAATATAATAGTTAGATGTGCCGTTACTTTTCTATCATATACATATCTTAAATCTTACCAAACATCTTCATTTAATACCTTCAAACCAAAATAAAAGGAAATTATTTAATTATTTATTGCCTTTTATTTTAAATTTTAAGAAAAACCCCACACCTCTCACATGTTTATAAAATTAAATATCTAATTACCTCTTATTATATATTAAAAATTTAATATTCCAGATCTCTAGAGAAGAGAAATAATCTCACAAGGAAAATTATTGACTTATAAGTAACGATAATATTGCATCATTTTAAAGGACGGTAATAAATATTATTTTATTTATGTCTAAATTTGACCATATATAAAGAAATAGCAAGTTTAGTAAATTTGGACGACACACGACATTTAAAGATAGGAACCGAAATCGGGCAGAAAAGTTGATATAGGGTTAAAGTTGGAAGGGAGATTGGTTTGAAATTGTGAAGTCATGGGACGATGAGGCAAGGCTTTGGTGGTGCATGTTCTTTAGGGACCCATACACGATTGGAAATTTTTTTTCATTTTTCTCTCATAAATTATAAAAAAATAATTGTTTTTTTGTTTTTGTTTTCCTTCTTGGAGATAATATCAGCCCATCAAAAGGGCAAGGGCCAAATATTGTAGCTCTGTAGATAACGGCATATTCATACTAATCGACCTTATTTTAATAAACCTCATTTTTATGAATAAATTTTGAACTTCTGACTTCATTAAATAAAATTTTTATTCGAATATATATATATATATATTTTTGTTATAATTCCTTGTCTTAAAAAATAATATCTTTAAAATTTGGATAATAGTTTTTAAAATAATATATATATTTAAAAAAAATGAGTTTTTTTTTTTTTTTTTTTTTTTTTAAATAATTTAGGGCAACATTATTTGAAGTGTTGGGAATAATATTGGAGATACGGAAGCATAAAAGTGAAGCCCCCACCACAGCAACACCTCCCCTTACCTTACGTGATTATTCCTAGTCTTCTTCTTCTTCTTCTGAATTTGCTTCCACTCTCTCCCATGGTGGTTCTGGTTCCTTCATTCTCCCCATGCCTTCTCTCCCTGGCTTCCCATTCTCCTCTCCCATGTCTGTAATCTTTTTCACTTCTCCTTTAATCATTTCTTCTCCTCTCCCATGTCTGTAATCTTTTTCACTTCTCCTTTAATCATTTCTTCTCCTCTGTTTTTCCCTTTTACTCATTTCATTTCTTTCCAATTTGCAGGTGGAGCGAGCTTTGCCTGAGGCGAACCACCCCTTCACTCGATGTCCACGACAACATTAACAATACCACCACCGCCGCCGATGAACACCCGATCTCCAACGCCGTTGAGTGCTACGCCTGCACCCAAGTCGGTGTTCCGGCCTTCCACTCCACTAGCTGTGACTATGCCCACCAGCAGCCCGAATGGGAGGCCTCCGCCGGCTCTTCCCTCGTCCCCATTCAACCCGCAAAGACCTCTCCTCGCCGCGCCGACCCACAACTTCGTTCCGGTCGCTTCGGCAGTGTTCTCGACCCTAGAACCAAGCGGGTCCAACGATGGAACCGGGCTCTGTTATTAGCCCGTGGAATGGCCCTCGCCGTCGATCCTCTCTACTTCTACGCGCTCTCCATCGGACGTGGTGGGTCGCCGTGCCTGTACATGGACGGTGGATTAACCGCCGTTGTTACTGTTCTCCGCACGTTCCTCGATGTCGTGCACCTGTGGCATGTTTGGCTCCAGTTCCGCCTCGCCTATGTGTCCAAGGAGAGCATGGTCATTGGCTGCGGCAAACTCGTCTGGGACGCTCGTGATATCGCCTCCCACTATGTTCGTTCCTTCAAAGGCTTCTGGTTCGATGCCTTCGTGATCCTCCCAGTTCCTCAGGTTTGCCTTCTTCTTTAATCATTTTAAATAGAGCCAAACGATGATATGGGTAGTGTTCATTGATTGGAATCTATAGTAGTTAACTTGGAGAATCGCTTATTGATAGGGAATGAATTAAAATATATCTCAATCATTGCAAATAAACAATAGTTTGATCATAATAAGAACTAGCAACTCAAATTTTAGTGAGCTAAATCAATGATTTTCATATTTTATTCGTACTTTTCAAAACATGGTATGATCAAAATCCAATTATTGAAGTGTTTCTTTTGTTGCCTCTGCTTATCTCTTCTTATTGCAGATTGTTTATTGGTTGGTCTTGCCAAAACTAATCAGAGAAGAGAGAATCAAGCTTATAATGACTGTAATCTTGTTAATGTTCTTGTTCCAATTCCTCCCAAAAGTTTACCACTCCATTATTTTAATGACAAGAATGCAAAAGGTCACTGGATACATCTTTGGCACCATTTGGTGGGGTTTTGGACTCAATCTCATTGCCTATTTCATCGCCTCTCATGTAAGCCTGCTTTGTATATTCATCACAGCCCCATGTCTTTTAAACTGAAATTTGCAAGCGCTTCTGGTTTTCCTGCTAACAGGTTGCTGGGGGTTGCTGGTATGTTCTTGCAATACAGCGAGTTGCTTCTTGCATCCAGCAACATTGTGAGAGAAACAAGTGCAACCTATCTCTGTCTTGTTCAGAGGAGGTGTGCTATCAGTTTCTCTCATCTGCTACAACCATAGGAAATTCGTGTGGTCGTAATTCGACTTCTGCATTTAGGAAGCCCATATGCTTGGATGTTAATGGTCCATTCGCCTATGGCATCTACAAGTGGGCTCTTCCAGTCATTTCTAGCAATTCCATTGCTGTCAAAATTCTTTATCCCATCTTTTGGGGCTTAATGACTCTCAGGTAAGTTTAGGAGCAGTAGTTTTCAAACTCTGTGTTCTGCTCCTGTGGAGAAAATGGAAGAGTTTTTTCACTATGTTTCTTGATAATGATGGTTTAAATGTTGCAGCACATTTGGCAATGATCTCGAGCCCACGAGTAATTGGCTAGAAGTATGTTTTAGTATTTGCACAGTACTCAGTGGATTGCTGCTTTTTACTCTTTTGATTGGTAACATCCAGGTGAGCCTGCTTGCTTGTTCAATATGTTGTGCACATGTAGCTGAAAGTATTCTTCTTCTGTGGACCTTAACTCGTCTCCCTTTTGCGAAAAAGGTTCTTTTGCATGCTGTCATGGCAAGGAGGCGAAAAATGCAGCTGAGATGTCGAGATTTAGAGTGGTGGATGAGGAGACGACAATTGCCATCTCGTTTGAGACATCGAGTTCGACACTATGAACACCAGAGATGGGCAGCCATGGGTGGAGAAGATGAGATGGAACTGATCAATGATTTGCCTGAAGGTCTTAGAAGAGACATTAAACGCCATCTTTGTGTTGATCTTATCAGAAAGGTACATAGTATGAATAGCTGTTCTCTTGAGGATCTCTTTAGGATTAGGGAATGCTTGTGGTTGAGGTTCTGTTTCCTTATGTGTAACGGCCCAAGCCCGCCGCTAGCAGATATTGTTGTCTTTGGGCTTTTCGTTTCAGGCTTTCCCTCAAGGTTTTAAAACGTGTCTGCTAGTGAGAGGTTTCCACACCCTTATAAAGAATGTTTCATTGAGTTGAGGATCTCTTTTGGATTTGGGATGGCTTGTGGTTGAGGTTCAAGCCCACCGCTAGCAGTTATTGTCTTCTTTCGACTTCCCCTTTTGAGCTTTCCTTCAAGATTTTAAAACACGCCTGCTAGTGAGAGGTTTTCACACCCTTATAAAGAATGTTTCGTTCGGTAGAGGATCACTTTTGGACTAGAGAAGACTTGTGATTAAGGTTGTGTTTCCTTATGCAACTGTTATCAAATGCATAGGTGCCGCTGTTCCAAAACCTGGATGAGCTGATTCTCGACAACATCTGCGACCGAGTCAAGCCCCTTGTATTTTCCAAAGATGAAAAGGTACATGTTCAAACCCTACTCGTCGGTGATCCGCTATCTACCAAGGATACACTGATATCAAAGTTTCCATAAAAAACAGATTATCAGAGAAGGAGATCCTGTTCCAAGAATGCTATTCATAGTGTGTGGACGTGTAAAACGTAACCAAAGCCTGAGCAAGGGCATGACAGCATCAAGTTTGATCGAATCGGGAGGATTTCTCGGCGACGAGCTGCTATCATGGTGTCTCCGGCGCCCATTTCTCGAGAGGCTTCCAGCTTCATCAGCTACATTTGTATGCATTGAACCAACAGAAGTATTTTCCCTGAAAGCAGACCATCTGAAGTACATAACCGATCACTTCCGCTACAAATTTGCCAACGAACGACTGAAGAGAACTGCAAGATATTACTCCTCCAATTGGAGAACATGGGCTGCTGTGAACATACAATTTGCTTGGCGTCGCTACAGAAAGAGGATGAGACGTCCAGTGATAACTGTGGTGGAAAATAGAAGCAATGAACGTAGGCTTCTGCAGTATGCTGCAATGTTCATGTCATTCAGGCCACATGACCATCTTGAATAGTAAACTACGAGCTTGCCTACACTTGCTGAATTCTTTCATAAGTCATTCATTGATATCATTTTCATATTATTCGATATCTATCATCTCCAAGGAAAGACATGGACTTGGAAGTTGGAAAATGGGATGTATTTTGAGTGTAAAGAGTGAGATACGTTCATCTTTCTCCCTTTCATGTCTCTTCCCTCTCTCTTCCTTCGACAAGACAGATCATGTTTCTCAACGAAGATGTGGAGTTGAAGATGGATGTATTGTTAAGAATGTTTTTAGTAAAGAGTAAATGTAGTTGTCCTCAGCTCAACTAGTTAAAATATATAAGATTCTAATTTCTGCCTCATATTCTTGAACTATAGAAAAAAGATGCAAGAGTTCGAGCACGGCTCGCAGATATTGTTTTCTTTTCCTTCTGGGCTTTTCTTTAAAGTTTTGCTAGGATTTTGAGCTTTCCTTTTTGGACTTTCTCAAGGTTCTGCTAGGATATCCAATTCCATGGGGCCTTCCCTCAAGGTTCTGCTAGGATATCTAAGTCCATCGTTAAAAGATATTGTCTTCTTTAGTCTTTTCCTTATGGGTTTTTCCTCAAAGTTCCGCTAGCAAATCCAAATCCACCGCTGGTAGATATTGTTCTTTCACTGAGCTTCCGCTAGCAAATCCAAGTATAGATATAATTTTCTTTGGGCTTTCTTTTCTGGGCTTCTCATCAAGGTTTTTAAATCGTGTCTTCCATGAGAGGTTGGGGCCATGGGCTTTCCCTTCTAGCATTCCCCTCAAGATTTTTAAAATATGTCAACGAGGACATGTTAGGGGCCTAACGTTCTCGTTGGCACACCGCCTGATGTCTGGTTCTAATACCAGTTGCAACAACCCAAGCTCGCCGTTAGCTGATATTGTCAGCTTGGTGCATTACATATCCTCGTCACCTCATGATTTTTAAAACATGTTTGTTAGAGAGATTTCTACACCCTCAAATACTTCGTTTCCTTCTCCAATCGATGTGTAATCTTACATCTCTACTATTTCTAAAAAGTTGCAAGTTTAAATTATCATCGCGTATGACATAATATTCTCGATGGAAGCGACAAATGCAACTAAATTACACGAAATCGGGTTAATATTAAGATTTCATAAATTACAACTTAATTGGCATAATAATTTGAAATTTATACATTAATCCCTCCATGTGGAAAACGTTGGAAGCCCATTAAATTAGGCTTTTGTTGGGTATCATATGACCCACCTTACCAGACCTTTTTAGGACCCACAAGACCAAGAACATCCTCCCATAGCCCCACACTTGCCACATCCATACCAATCACACTTGGACTACAAGCAGCCACAGTCCAATACCCAGCTTTAATTTCATCTCTCAATTGCTCCTTCTCCCACCCACAATACCCATCAAAGAACCTGAAATCCTCAGCCCCAATCATATTCCTCTTCACCATTTCCGATGCACACCCAACACTCTCTTTACCCCCATAATACATTCCTTTCATTACTTCCTCAAATACCCCACTCTTCCCAACCCCATCCTCTTCTCCCCCCCTTCTTGGACTCACTAAAAACAAGCCCCCTTCCAATGGCCCCCCGAAGTACAACGGCCGCTCCCAAAACGTGCCCGCTACGTCCAGTGTCGTCGACCTCGTTTCCTTAATTGACATCAACGATGGCCGATTTATTATCACCCCGGATGACCCCATTGCCCCATTTGATAACACGAGAACCACTGTACGCTCGAATATGTGCACTCCATCCAGCTTCTCAGTTGCAATGAGTAGACATCCCTTTTCAGGCTCATGAATGACATGCGCCCATTTGTCGCCGATTGAGACCGACGGTGGATGATCCACCACCGTGTCAAGATTCACAAAAGACGATGAAATTTGAGGCGTTGTGAGCTTCTGATTGGCAATTAACTTGGCTCTAAATGATCTCCAATCTGTATCATCCCTTTCTGATGGCGACTTGAACTGACAGCCTAAAGAGAAAAATAAAATATGGATCTTTAATCATGACCGATCACGAAGCTTATACTCAAAGTATACAATATCTTAGAGTCGTGATTACTAACTAGAATACTGAAGGAACTTACATGAAATTTTGAAAGATGATGGGGAAGAAGAGGGCCGGGAGTTGAAGAGAATTGTGGGCTTGATCTGGTTGTGAGGCACAAAACAAGCTTCCATATTTGAGACTCAGCAGCTGCCTTGTTTGTTGGTGTTGGATGATGAAGAGAGAAACAGAAGAAGAGGGTTTATAAGGTGAAGGGAAGAGTGATTTGGAACCACATAAAAGGATAAAGGCTTCTCCTTTTTCAGACCCATCTCATCCAAAACTTGGATTGTCCTTTATGTGGGTCCATAAAGTTATGGGCAATTGGATAAACCCTGACACGTGGCTTCATGTTAAGACTGCCAACTCAATCCTTTGGTGGATTGTACACTTCTGCAACCCATTTTGGTGACGTGGCGTTTTCATGCCCAATGGCTCTTCTTGGTGTATGTAACTTTAAACTAAGCACCCATCACAAATGCTGACTCACTATGGATAAAAAACCTGGTTGGATATACTTTTTTTTTTCCACGGTTCAATAGTAAGAATTTCAAAACTGTCCATTTTTAGTTTGGAGTATTTCTATATTAGATAATTTTATTAGATTTTTTCTTTAAAATGAAGATAAAGCATACTAAAAGAACACGTGATTAGTTTATAAGGATGGTCTTATTTCTTAAAGTAACTTCAATATTATAGGTCCGGGTTCTTATAATTTTTAGTCCGAAACATATGAGTAGAAATAAAACATTAAAAATATTTCAAAATAAGTAAGAAACATAGATGACACCGTCTACATTTCAACAAATTATATATTATGGTAATACGGCATGAGAAGGAAATGTCTGAGTCAAAAGGGAAAGTTTAAACCAAATTACAAATCCCAACAAGGGAACAAAACGATTAAAGAAGAATTCAAACCAAACTTAGAAAATCCCACCGTAGAACTTGTTCTTCGTGGTGGGTACTATATGCAAATCGTGTTAGGTGAAGAACGAAAGCGAATATCAAAAGTGGACGACTTGACCAACGATGGTTGTTGGCTTGGCGATGGAGTCCGCCAGCCGCATCCACTGATCCCACTGCCTTCCTGCGCACCGCCATGAAATAGTACGTTCATACCTATTTTTCTTTCCCCCTTTTGCCTATTTCCCTTCCTCTTCCATCTGGGTCTTGTTTTTCTCCATAGATTCCCCTTTGATCCTCTGTTTTCACTTCTGTTTCCGTCTAAAATGAAGGCCAAATTGGTTTTCACTGCTCCTCCTCCAATTTCTACTACTCGTATCCCCAATCTCTCGAAACCCACTTGCGTTTTAGCCTCCCATGGTGGAAAGAATCGTGGGTTTTTGCCTCTCAATCTGAAATCGCTCCATGGAACCGCCCTTCGTTCTGTTCAAGCCTCTGCCGCGTCCGTTGGGTATCTTACTTCAAACCCTTTTGCTCATTGCCTCGATCTTACCTCCTTTTTTCGTTTAAATGGTTTTCTTGAGGAATTCTGATCGTGGGTAATTCTGATTTTTTATCGTTGTTCTTGTTTTTGTTTGATTTCACGAAGTATTCTTTGTTTTTTCAAGTTTCTGATAGTCTTTCGTAACGTGCAATTTGTTCTTATGTGTTACGACATGGCTAGTTGTGGTGTCAAACTTTAAATATATCTTGAGGTTTAAGTTTATGTGCTTGGTGATGATCTAAAATATGATATCAATTGGTTTAAATTGTATTGGTAAGATTAGTAGTAGTTTAGAACGGTGCTGCTGTTTAGTTCAAGCATTTATGTCTCTGTTTCGTAGATCATCTCCAAAAGAAAGGGTGGACATCAGCGACAACTTGACCCTAGAGGCAATAAGACGCTCATTAATCTCTCAGGAGGACAGCATTATCTTTAGTCTTTTAGAGAGAGCTCAGTACTGCTATAATGGAGATACATATGACCCCAATGCTTTCTCCATGGATGGCTTTAGTGGCTCTTTGGTGGAGTACTTGGTCAAGGAAACTGAAAGGCTCCATGCTCAGGTACTTGAACATTCTAAAAGGAGAAACGAAGAAAGGTTAAGGAAAATGTTGTGTGTGATTGATTGACAATATTTTTTTACCATTAGGTGGGAAGATACAAGAGTCCTGATGAGCATCCTTTCTTCCCCGACGACTTACCCGCTCCGTTGTTGCCTCCGCTTCAGTACCCACAGGTGAGCATTGACTTACTTACATGGAGACTAAGAAAATACAATCTGTTGTGCTTTCTCGTGTGTACGAGTTACTAGTGTTGGATGTAGTTCACGATCGAAATATGTCGAAACAAACAACTGAAGCAGAAACAACAACTTGAGGGGAGAGATCTTTAGAATAGAGGAACCTTAAGCACTTGTGATTTTCAATTCGTGAAAAAAGCATACATCTAATGAGTATTTCCCCTTCAGTTAAGAACCATTAACAATCTTCTTAATTAAAGCACGGGATCATAAAGTAACTTATTCTAATAAGTCAAGTTTACTAGCTCACAATTGGTGTATTAATCCGATATCCGTGGTTTGAGTTGAAAACAGGTACTACATCCTGTGGCGGATTCCATCAATATAAATAGCAAAGTATGGAGAATGTACTTCAATTCTCTGATACCAAGATTAGTCGAGGAAGGAGATGATGGCAATTATGGATCAACTGCTGTCTGTGATACGATGTGCTTGCAGGTGTTCATCTGAAACTATCCAAACCATTTAGAAATTTCGTCTGCAAAACTGACTTTCAATGAACATATGATAATTATGCTGTGTGTATACTAGCATTTGTTTAGTTTCGGTGACATCTCACATTAGTTGGAGAGAAAAACGAAGCATTCCTTATAAGGGTGTGGAAACCTCTTCCTAATATATACGTTTCAAAATCGTGAAGCTGACATCGGTACATAACGGGCCAAGCAGACACTAGCAGTGGTGGGCTGTTACAAATGGTATTAGATCCATATACCAAACGGTGTGTCATCTTGGATGTTGGACCCCCAATGAGGGTAGATTGTGAGATACCACATTGGTTGGAGAGGAGAACGAAACATTCCTTATAAGGGCTGTGGAAACCTCTTTCTAACATACGTGTTTTAAAACCGTGAGGCTGATGACGATATATAACGAACTAAAGTGGACAATATCTACTAGCGATAGGCTTGGGCTTGGGCTGTTACAGTTTCATTTTCTGAATCTTTGTTATCACAACAATTTTCACAATTCGGTTGTTTCGACCGCTGCAGGCTCTATCAAAGCGAATTCATTATGGAAAATTTGTGGCAGAAGCAAAGTTTCAAGAGTCACCAGATGAATATGGGGCTGCAATTAGGAAACAGGTAAACTTTGTTCTACTACTATATTACATTCTTGATTCTGCTATCAAATATGTGATGTGATTCTGGTGCTGGGTTTTGCAGGACAAGGAGAAGTTGATGGACATGCTAACGTTTCCGAGCGTCGAGGAGGCGATCAAAAGGAGAGTGGAAATGAAAGCGAAAACATTTGGGCAAGAGGTTCCTGTAAACATAGAGGAAAAACATGGTGCCCCAGTTTACAAAATTAAACCCAGTTTGGTTGCTCAACTTTATGGAGAATGGATCATGCCATTAACAAAGGACGTTGAAGTTCAGTACTTACTCAGAAGATTGGACTGATTTGCAATCATTCTTCATGGTCAATGCTCATAGTAAGTTCCCACTTGTTCCAATACAATAATCAGGTTGAGTTACAACGGTAATGTCGATCGTGTACCTGTTGAAACCGTTACCCATTACAATCATGTTCGGGGTACCCTTTCAAATAAACTTTAAAAATATTTGAGTGTTAGTTGAAAGGCATCGTCGTTTCAATCTCCCTATTACTCGTAAATTAGGAGTTTTCTATTACAAATCAAATAAACTCACTCAAAGTATTTGAAAAATGAACGTGAATTTCTTGAGTTGCCCTATGACCCACTTTAATTCTAAGGGTTTTGTTAATGTTTGGGTCTCGTTTAAGATTGGATTTAATAAGGTAAGAAAGACCTTTCTATTGGATCTAAATACTTTTTTAAAAAAAATTGTTGGATATGCGTGCACTTGTATGATTGCTTGATGTATAAGTTGCGATGTGCGCGGTGGAACATGTTTTACAAAATATTTTAGGATCTATTCATATTCATGACATGGTTGTCCACTTGTGATAATATTTTGTAATTAATGTCATAACCAATTTCGAGTAGTGATGTTAATTTGTGATTACTGCACGTGTGATTACGAGCGTAGGCATCTTTGGATGAGGATGGCTAATTGGTAGTTGTTGGATGCAGGTGGTGATAACTAATTGGTGGTGGTTGGACGTTGGTTATTCACGATCACTACTGTCGCCACTTTCTAGCCGTGGTAATTAATAGGTGGTGGTTAGATGTTGCTTATTCACGATCACCCATAGCTACCTCAAATACTCCAATTCTTCCTAGTTTTTTTTTACCAATGTTTGAGTGGCAACACCCTCGAATAATTAAAATTTTAAATGGGTGTAATTTATATTTTAATCCTAAAAGAAATGTTTTAGAAATATAAGTTGATAATTGGTAGGCTATAATATTTAAAAGTTTATGTAATATATACAAAGTAGGCTTCATAAATTTAGTTTATTGTTTTGGGTAAGTTCTATACTATAAAATATAATGCATTAAAAAAAAGTCTATTTTACAAAAAGAAAAAAATTATAAATTAAAATAATAATTTTAAAAATTTTAAAATTAAATTTATTGGCCGAGTTTCTTTTTCCTTCCAATTTGGAATTTGGGGATAAGGTATTATTAATCCACAAAATCGTTCTTCAAGCTCTTGGAAAATCCGGCAGCGATATCTCTCTGCTTCTGCTGCAATGGCGTCCATTTGCCATTCAATTTCGCCTCCTCTTTTATCTAAACCCACAACAATCGCGAGATTCCGAGCTCTCCATGCGTTCCTTCCCAATTCAACGCACCATTCAAGTTCTATGCTCTCATTTCGAAGCTGCAGAACTCGAGCCACCAGCTCAACCCCGTCCGCCGTCGGAGATGCTCGGGAACCTATTGACGACTCGATGAGCATCGATAATCTTCACCGCTTCGTTGAGCTTAACTCCGGGAAGTGGAATGGTTCTTTTTTTGTGAGTCTTAATTTCTTCTGCATACTGTGGTTGCTCTTGCTCGCTGTTGTGATTGAGAATGCAATAAAAAAAAACTTTCTTAGAAGACAAGTGGCCATTGTCTTCGATTTATTGAGTTTACTTGGTATTAGCTCGTTTTCGAAAATTAAGCTTATAATAACTATTTTTTATTTTCGATTAATTGTTTCCATTAACCTATGGATTTGAGTTTTGGTGCTTTGTTTAACGTTGAAATTTGTTTTACTTGTCCAGCAATTTGACGCTCAAGGGAGTTTGCTGCATAAAATAAGTACGAAGCTAGCCGCGAGCTCTTATGGAGAGGATGAACTTATGAGTCTCATTCAAACGTAAATACAAATCACTCTTGCATATAAAGAAAAAAACGAGTATCTAATCAAGTAAGGCACGACTACGTGATTAATCAATGGTTGTTAGTCTAATGATTACTAATTTGTGGGCTGCAACTCTTTTCAATTTCACCATATGATCCCTGAAGTTATGGCTGGACAAAGATCATAACACAGCATATATGATATTTGTTTTCATTGTTCTAACCTGTTTGTCTATAATTAAAGCTGTAGCCAAAGCTTGATAATTCATGCAACTCTTTTTTGCTCAATGCCACTGACTTATCATATCAAAAACACGGGCTAATGTTGTTGTTCCTCCTGATCCTACCATACTTTATAGACTATACATTAAACTGCCATCAAGCTTTTCACTTTCTGGTGATGAGGATGAACCAGAGTGGGGAGAGTACAAAATTAAAGAAACCAACATGTTCACTGTGGACAAATATCAGCAGGTGAGTTCGCCTCCCAACTCAAATATATGAATGTTACGTGCGCACACACCTTGTGCAACTATGTGAACTTGCGTATGTCTTAGAGTTTAAAGTTTAGGGTTTGTGCACACCCTGCTGACACGTCCTGTATAGTAATGTCTTATATGAATGTTTATACACAGCGTGCGCACACACCTTGTGCAACTGTGTGCACTTGTGTATGTTTTAGAGTTTGTGCAAACCCTGCTCACACTCCCTGTATAGTAAGCGTCTTAGATTTGATTTCTTTATCGCGATGTTACTGTTTCTTGAATATCCGTTACAATTAGCTTGCAGATTAGCTTTTTCCCCAATGAGAAAGCATATTCACTAAGGTACCAGACGGCTGGGATGTTGGACACTGTGTTGAGGCAAGGGGTGTTGGGTGAGGATGACACTGGTGAAGAATTTCCCAAGTAAGAGATTATTCATGGTCTCACTTTGTATATAAGTGGATAAAATGCAATACTTTCTATGTATTCATGACCCTGTCTGCTCTACAACGTCCATACTCATTGGAGTTACATAAATAGTGTGTTAGAAAACGGTGTATAAATAAACTGTGCTGAGTTTATATAGCTCAATATTCGCACATGGGTTTGGATTCCCATTGGCATCCAAGTGTCATGAGGGAAGGACAGCCATGGTCAGGTATAAATTATGCGTGCTTGTGCCTTCTTCCTGTCCTGGCCTAACCAACAGAAATTATTTTATTGAACATTCTTAATCAACCTGAATGATCACAGCTGACACCAGGTCCTTTTTCGATTTCAATCATGTCTCTGATGAACTGATCTAGAACAAGTCTTTAATTTATACTTTTCATACGGCTGTTTTCTTTTCTTTTCTAATGTGTACTAAGTATTTCTTTTCAACTGTTTAAATTTGTTAAAAAATATAATTTATAGATTCTTTACCACCCCCTTAAACATGCAGAAACCTCAAGCTTCCTTCTCGCCGGCCTTCCATTGTATGCGAGAATTGCCTGTATATTCCAGACAAAGATCTGAGAGCAAGAGCTTTTCATGTAATGGACCCAAGAGGAACTATAGAAATGCTTCTCATTTTTCTTGAGGAAAGGGCTGATGGGAAAATTTTTCATCCTCCGCTTAACTCAAATTTAGTAAATGTAAGTTGTAGTACTGGTTGAGTAATGTGAAGGACTTGGTTTTCACTATTTTTTTTCTCAACTTTTTTAGCCTTTTTTGTGTTGAACAACTATCATATGGTTGCAGGATGAGGAAAACAGGCTTCTCCCCTTTCTTGGTGACTGGAAAGGGCAATCTAGAACAAAAAGAAGTGGTGTTTATGGAGCAACGATTGCGGAAGCTGATACTCTGTCATCCCTTCAAATAGATGACGCTGGTCGGATTATCCAGGTATGATTCACTGCAATTAAATTCTCTCCCATCTTCAGAGCACTAACCAAAATGAGGTTCTTAAATCCCTGATTCTTTTATCCATTTATATTCACTCACTCTTTCTATGAGATCCAACATCGGTTGGAGAGGAGAACGAAACATTCCTTATAAGAGTGTGGAAATGGATGGTGAGATCCCATGTCAGTTGGAGAGAGGAACGAAACATTTCTTAAGGGTGTGGAAACTTTTCCCTAGCAGACACGTTTTAAAACCATAAGGCTAACGGTGATACATAACAGGTCATAACGGACAATATTTGAGCAATGGGCTTGAGCCGTTAAACTTCCACTTCCCTTTTTAAAATCTGCAACCTACTCTTGTACAGGATTTAACAACAACATCAATGAATGGAGATGTCACCACAAACGTGCACTGGACCGGTACTAAATCAGACAACTTGGTAACATTTGACGGCAGGTACCAGATTACATTATTGCCAGGTGGAATGTATATGGGATGTCCGTGTGATGTAGCCAAAAGTGTAGCAGATAGTAAGTCATTCCACTTGGAGTTCTGTTGGCTTGAAGCTCCAGGCAGAAGACAGAGGCTCGTTCGTACTTACGATGTAGAAGGTCTGGCCGTCTCATCAACCTATTTTTCTGAGATCAAACTGTGAGTGTTTCTTCCATCCACTGCCCCTATACTAGAAAGAATGAATCCTAAAACTGTCCTCAAGCTTAGATTCAAAACCAAGTCGAGTCGAGATTTTTGGTTATCGACCATATGATTCATGTCCTGTTATCTATTAGTGTTAACAATTCCCACAAAAGATTAGTTATACCAACATCTTACCTCTATGATCTATCAGCTTAATCTTTGGGTCGGGTCGAGTGTAGTTGTACTTTTGCATAGTATCAAATCAAAAGGTCTTTGATTCAAAGTTTGGCAATGTCATTTTATACACATTTCATATAATAGTCTACTTGTTCGGTTTGTGCTATACACATTTCATATAATAGTCTACTTGTTCGGTTTGTGCTAGATTTCGAGGGTTGTTAACCTATCAGTTTAAGCTAATGGATTAGTCTTTCTATAAGTAATCAATACAAAACATGTATATTTCAAGCTATTGAAATAGTGCTAGTAGTAATAATGGTATTGCATCATGATTAATAACATGGTAGCACGACCATTTTTTTTCTAAATTTAGGCTAATATTTATACGATTTTGTAGGGTCAAATATAGCTGCAATGTGTCATACTTCAATAAGATTTTTCAACATTGACTTTAAAGCTGGGGCTATTAATAGGTATAGTTTACCATATATATCATATTTGATATTTTATTATAAGGAAAAACATTATTATGGTATCATAGCCATTTTGGTTTATCCTTTCTTTTCAATGGCTTTTGAAATCTTCCACTCCTTTTCTCCACCACCACTGCTGGCTTTGACGCCGCAGGGGCAGTTGTCATGGTTGCCACATGCAAAGCCGATTGATTACTCTTCGGCTCCATCCTTTTGACCTCCAAATCATCTTTCGCCATACTCTGTACATACAACTTTACCTTTTCCAAACATAGCCTCTCTCATTTTCTTCCCAATTTTCCCTTTATCATTCACAGAAATCCTAATTTTAGGATCTTCATCAGCGTTCTCTTCGGAAATATACAGAATCTCGATAAGCCCATCGACCTTATACAGAGATTTACCTTTAGAATCTGGGCGTCGCACTAACCTCTTTGCCAACCAAGTTATCGTTGCCCTTCTCACCAAAATTGGCTCCTTCGCCCAATGTAGCGACTCTTCCGGCGGCCTCTTCGCCAACCAAGTTGCCGTCGCCCTTCTCACCAAAATTGGCTCCTTCGCACAATGTGGCGACTCTTCTGGCTGCTCTTCTCGCCAAAATTGGCTCCTTCTCCCACTGTGGCGACTCTTCCGGCTTCAACATTGTCTTTGTCCCTTGCTCTAGGTTTCCCCTTCTACTTCTTGGGGTTAAACATATTCTCACTAGAGCCAAGTCAACATCGTCGCTAAGCGACAATCCCTCTTCATGGGTTAGACATATTCTCGTCGAAGCCAAGGCAGCATCGCCGCTGAGCGGCGATCCCTCTGCAATTTTTGATGGCCAAGAAAGTGTTTCTCTACGTCTCCTCTGAACCAGGTTGTTGACATCTTCACGAAAAATGTTTTTCAACCTCTTTGAATTTTTCAGATTCAAGCTTCACGTTCGTTTAAATCCGACGCTTAGCTTGCGGTGGAGTGTTAAAGATATTTAGTAATAAATTATGGTTTACCTTATATATCATATTTGATATTTTATTATAAGGCAAATTATAGTTAAAGATATTTGCTTCTTACCATAGCTATCTTTCCATTTATTACTATTTCTATATCCTTGTAATTTATTTGATTATAAATAAGATAACATTCACATCATTTAGGTGTGGTGTATTAATCAAACATTCTTAAATAGTATATGCTCTCTCGGTATACTTAATATACATATATGATTGATATTAGAATCTCACATTGTACCATATTCAAAATATATTAACCAACTATGTCAATATGCATTATGCATTATTTTTTTTAGTGGTCTTCTACTTTTTCATAAAGCAAAAAATATAAGAATTATTAATTATTTTATTTAAATAATTAATAAAATAATATACTTCTGAAAATAAAAAATAGTGGAAGCACATTTTTGTAAATTTGTGAATTATATCTTATGATTATTATGATTATTGAGCATATCTAAGTTGTGACAGTTTAATTCAATAATTTTTCAAATTGAAAGGATCTTGGTGAAAATTTTGAATAAATAAAAATTATAATTATAATTCTTAAAGCTTAAGATTATCTGCTAACCAACCAAGAAAATTGTTGGTGCAATTTTCATTTTGTCTGTCCAACCAGAAAATAAAAAAAAGTCAAATAAGGTTTCGTTTTCATGTATGAGAAGTTTTCGAGAAAATCGGACCCACATTCTCCTTTTAAATTTTTGGCACGTCTCCATGCCAACTAAGTATTATAAATCATCCATACGAATAGTTCGAAAATTGAAGTATTTCTACCCCACTAAAAAAATATTGTAAATACGAATATCGTACTTTATATGTTGTAATAATGTAAAAATAAAATTAAAAAATAAATATTTTAGACACGATTCGTCATATCATTTGTAGCGTGCTTCATCATTTACCATATTTGGAATGAACAAATTCGTGGGTTCATAGTTCATATCTTTTTCTTTACAGATAATCTTGTGTCGTGTCTTGTTAAATATGTTTAGATGGTTGCTGGTATTAGTTGACATACCTATTTTTTATTTTTTAATTAAAAAATTGTTAAAAGGAAAAAAAGAAAAAAGGTAAATGAAAATTAGCTCAGAACTATGACATGAGTGTTTGACAATTAATTTATTATCGTGTTTTCTACTCTATATTCTGTAATTATTTATTTTAATGAATCTTAATGTAGATATAAATTTTCAAAATTACAAAATTCTAATTTGTTTTATAAATTTGGTGATATTATATATTCATCCAGATTTACAGAAAAACATGAAAGTCAATATTAATAGTTTCATATTATATGTATAATATATCTTATTAGACTTATAAACATATAATAATAATAATAAAATAAATAAATGTCGCTTCCAAATAATTCAACTACTTACTAAGTCAAATCAATTTTTGTAATTAATTATTTATATGATAGACAAAATTTACAAAAATTAAATAAAATTGGAAATATATATATATATATATATTAAATAAAATTGAAAACAAAGACTACCAATTATTAAAGATGAAAATGAAATATGGATGAAATTAATTGTATATCTTTAATAATGACCTAAAAGTCAAATTAACCTTTTAAACTACCAAAAAAATTTATTATTATTTTTAAAATATCTCTTGAGAAAATAAATTCATCCATTTTAATTTGAGGAAAAAAAAAAAGATTATAAATATTCTAAAGGGAAATATATATAGTATATATATATAAGGGGAGCCTCAACCTTGTCAACTAAGCATAACATAAGATCTACTATACATGCAACACTACCCTAACCTCCAACCATTCAACGACTTCGACTTCACCTCTTTCAACGAGCAACAACAATCATGCAATTTTCTCATCACTTTCAACAAGAAAGATCAATGTAGAGGTAAATAAAACATTTGTTAGTTGGAGAGACGAACAAAACATTTCTGATAATGGTATGGAAATCTTTCCCTAATCATGAGACGATACCGGCCTAAAACGGACAATATTTGCTACCAGCAAACAAAAAAATCATTTATTTAAAAGAGATCCTCTAATGTATATTTATTTTATTAGAATATAACATTAATATTATCGTGCAGATGTGAAGTCCACACCTTAAATATATATAGAAAAATTATAAATAACTTAATTATTTAATTATACTCTAATGTCAACTTATTTCCAAGTAGAAAATATATTAAAAGATTAACAAAATGTTTAACTTTTTTAATTTTCATTTATATAATATTTTAATTCTGAACAAAGAATAGGAAAGATAAATTTTAATTTTAAAATAAAAAAAATAAAAAAAAAGTAAAAGTAATAAATAATTTGAGCTGTACTTTTTCCACTGGATGTTAACCCCAAATACTGAACTTTATAGAAATCCGTAGAGCACAAAAAGTAAACAGAAATCTACTCCCCAATTTCTTCCATGGCTAAGAACGATGACTCTTCAAGACCTCCACTCCACCGCCCCACCATTACTCTGCCTCCGCGCCCTTCTATGGACGCCTTCTTCGCCGCCGGACCCACTGGACTTAGCCCTGGCCCTATGACCCTTGTCTCCAGTTTCTTCGCCGACGGTGCAGCTGACTCGCCTTCCTTCTCCCAGCTTCTCGCCGGAGCCATGGGTTCTCCGATGGCTATGGGGTTTCTGGGAACTGGGTCCACACCCAATTATTACGCCAAGGATGGAGGCAGCTCGGAATTGGAATTTGGGTTGAAGCAATCGAAGCCACTCAATTTGATGGTGGCTCGGTCTCCTTTGTTCTCGGTCCCGCCAGGGCTCAGCCCCTCTGGGTTGCTTAATTCGCCTGGCTTTTATGGTCCTCAGGTAAAATTGAACCAATTTGATTATTGTAGGGCCTTTCCTTTTGCTTTCAATGTGTTGGGGGTCTGTTTTTTTAGGTTTTTTTGATGTTGAAATCTGGTTTTAGCAACTGGGTTTTGGTTAACCACTGGGGAAATGAGAGTGTTTGTGTTTTGTTTTAGAAATTGAGTTCATTTTTTTAGGGGTTTATTCAATTCCTCTTCTCAATGATGGTTTTTAGGTGAGATTTTTGTTGAAATGAAGTTGCCGAAATTAGCGTCAAATCTTGGTGATTTCTATCTCTATTTCTTCTCTTTTTCTGCCAAAGATAACATGTTTGGATTGCGTTTGAATCCATGAAATATTGCACATAGGAAAAAATGTTTGAATATGGTCGTAACATTGGGAGTCAAATTGAAAGTTCAAGACACAATTACTCAGAATATAGTTTAGTGGATGAGACGCCATTTACTATCTCAAAAGTCGATAGCTCGAATGCTCGAATCCCACCCCATAATTTTAGTTAGGTTAAATTATATGTTTGGTATGCCGGTCGGGGAAAACCAATCTTATAGCTTCCGCGCTTCCCGTTCTTTCTATTATCCCATTTTCTTTCGGGATAGGCACTCAAAATTCTCCCCAAGTAGGATTTGAACTTCTTTTTATAAAGCAACTCGACTTCGATTCTTGAATTTACGTTTTGATTATTCTAAATGACTCCTCAACTTTTGGAGTGGTGTCTTTATTGTTTGTGCTTTAAAAGTTTCTGAAAGTTGAAGGGTACCTTTGTTCTTCACAAGTTTTCTAATAGGTTATGAACTCTAATTTTCAGTCTTATTAGATATTAATTTCATTAGTTTAATGTTGCATGACAAGTTAACTGTATATTCATTTAATTATTACATGGAGAGTTAGCAAAATTTATTAGTCATAGAAGCCTATTAGAGTATAGAAACTAAATACACACAATCCTAAAAGTTCAAGAAGTAGGTAGCAATTTTTTAGTGTCCATGGACCATTGTCAATGAACCGAATAGACCTAACTTTGAAAGTTTAGGAACCAAACTTATAATTTAGCCTTTCTGGTTATAAGAAATTGTCATAAAAGGATAATCATATTTGAATCATGAGAATATATTCGAACTTTTTTTCTTTTTCGAGGACAACAAATGTGTGTGTGTGTGTATCGTGGGGGAGTTGAATCTCTGATCTCAAAGAAAAGAGTAGATACCGAAATTGCTTAGCTATGCTCTTGTTAATGTTAAACATGCCATAAAGGCAGTGATTTCTATTGTTTTTGTTGATTTGTTGATTAAATGTCTTGTAGAGTCCATTTGGAATGTCACACCAGCAGGCATTGGCTCAGGTTACTGCTCAAGCGGCACTGGCACATTCTCATATGCATATGCAGCAAGCTGAATATCAACATTCTTTAGTACCAGCTCCTATGGAACTGTTGACACGTGATCCATCGTTTACTCTTGATGAAGCTTCTCAACTGTCAGTATTACCCTCCACATCAGACACAAAAAGTATCATTGCAGAATCAACAGAAGTATCTCATTCTGATAGAAAATACCAACCTCCTCCTTCAAATGCCTCTGATAAACCTGCAGATGATGGCTATAACTGGCGTAAATACGGACAGAAGCTGGTTAAGGGCAGTGAATATCCACGAAGCTACTACAAATGCACACATTTGAATTGCCCTGTCAAGAAGAAGATCGAGCGCTCCCCTGATGGTCAAATTACTGAAATTATTTACAAAGGTCAGCATAACCATGAACCTCCTCCAGCCAACAAACGTGCAAGAGATACTAGTGAACCAACTGGGTGTACAAATTCTTTGACGAAGCCTGAAAGTAGATCCCAAACTCAAGCTGGAATTTTGAACAAGTCAAGTGAAAATGTGCAATTAGGTTCTAGTGACAGTGAAGAACAAGCTGATACAGAGATAACAGAAAACAGGGATGAAGATGAACCAAATCCAAAGAGGCAGTACGTATGAAAATTTTTATATTTTGATTCATTTTACAGTTCTTCTGTTTTAGTGGGAAAAAACTAAAATATTTGTGGCTTTGCCACATGAGTGCAGGAACATTGATGTAGGGACATCTGGTGTAGCTTTGTCTCATAAAACACTCACAGAACCAAAAATCATTGTTCAAACTAGAAGCGAGGTCGACCTGTTAGATGACGGTTATAGGTGGCGCAAGTATGGGCAGAAAGTGGTTAAAGGAAATCCTAACCCCAGGTAGCTAGTTTTGCTTCTTTTTGTCTTCTTCTTCTTTTTTTTCTTTCCAAAAAAAGTGGATGGTAAGTGAAAATTATAAGACTGTCCATATTATCTGCAAGCATATGCTCACGCGCTGAAATATCGTTACCCTACAAATCACAATCATTCACTATGATAAGCATGCTTTCTTTTGTTTGCTCAGAACTTTCAGCATTCTCATGATCTTGATGATTTTGAAGGTCATAAGATGATCCATGGGTTATTTTCTTATAACTTCTCTTTTTTCTATTTGATGAATTATGAGTACTATAACTAAGATAGAAGTTAGACCAGTTGTCAAACTTAGTGTCCTGTCATGAGGATGGTTTGCAGTTGACTTGAAGAAATGGTCGGTTTACAATTTGTTGCATTTATGAACATGCTTTGAGTTCGTATTTTATCTCCCATGGCTTAGATTTCCTTGGTTATAATGTGAGATCCCACATCAGTTGGGGAGGAAAACGAAACATTTTTTATAAGGGTGTGGAAACCTCTCCCTAGCAAACACGTTTTAAAAACCTTGAGGGAAAGTTAGAAAGGGAAAGCCGAAAGAGGAAAATATTTGCTAGCGGTATGCTTTGGTTGTGACAAATGGTATCAGAGCCAAACACTGGGCGATGTGCCAGCAAAGAGGCTAAGCCCCGGAGGGGGGTAGACATGAGGCGGTGTGCCAACAAGGACACTGGGCCTTGGAGGCGGTGGATTGGGGGATCCCACATCGATTGGAGAAGGGAACGAGTACCAGCGAGGACGTTGGGCCTTGAAGGGGGATGGATCATTAGATCCCACATCGGCTGGGGAGGAGAATGAAACATTCATTACAAGGGTGTGGAAACCTCTCCCTAGCAGAAGCGTTTTAAAAATCTTGAGGGGAAGTGTGAAAGGGAAAGCCCAAAGAGGACAATATCTGCTAGCGTTACCCATAGATTATGGTTACTGACAAATGTAAGATGGATTTGCTGTAACTTGTCATTAGTTTGATTCTTCATCTTTGAAGTTTGACTTGACTATGTTTAAGAATTCTGGACTCTCCTGTTGGACAGCGACTTTTTTATTTGTCCTTTGAGTTATCTTTGTCTGGACTCTCCAATACTCCAGCAAGAACTTCTCAGTTGATTTGAAGTCTCTTTGAGTGGCTTTATTGCTAATATAGTTAAACTTTGGTAATATTTGCTTTAAGTTGGAGCCTTTTTTCACTATCCCTTTTGTGACATAAGAATTGTGATTGGTTATGTTTTGAGCATATCATGTTCTCTAAGACAACTTTTTCTTTTTCTGTAATTTCTGTCATTAGCGTTTGATCAGTCAAAAAATTTATGAGTTTGTTATTTGTTGCTTATTGCAACTAGGATGATCATGTCTTTTGACACATTTTAACCTGTCAACAGGAGCTACTACAAATGTACTAGTGCTGGGTGCAACGTACGCAAGCATGTTGAGAGGTCTTCTACAGACTCGAAAGCTGTCGTAACCACATACGAAGGGAAACATAACCATGATGTCCCTGCAGCTAGAAACAGCAGCCACAACACCGTGTCCCAGATCAAACCGCTTAAGGTTGTAGCTCAGAAACATCCATTACTTAAAGAGATGGAATTTGGAAGTAATGACCAGAGACCTGCCGTTTTGCGGCTTAAAGAAGAGCAAATCACTGTGTAAACTGCTACGACATAGTGCAACCTGGTCAGTAGTTGATTTCAAGTGACTAACCAGTTTCAAAAAGGGGAGAAAAAGTTTCCAGTCACATAAATTTGAATTTCACAGTCCGTGTTCGTGTTCGAGTCAAAAGTGCTCCATTTGCCTTCTGCAATTTACATCCCAAAACTAGTTTCGACCATGCCAAGGGAGATACAAGGAGGACAGTCAAGACTGATATTATATGATCAGAATAATGTTATTACTTGTGTTTATCTCAGCTTCCTGAGGCTGTTTCACCATTGCAGCTGAGGTGAAAGGAATATACTGCATCATCCTATAAGGTACAGGAAGTTGAGTACTCTTCCCTGTAATTTTAGAAACCTGTTGTGTAGTGTGACTTCCCAAATTCAAACTAGACATTGTTTATGTTCTGTAAAATTTCATGTAGTCCATCAGTTTATACCAAAATATGAACTGTACAAATTGGAGCTGTGTGTATAAAATTCAGAATCTTTATATTGGTTGTTGATATTGATACAGTTTCTTTTGGAAGGATGAGTCTCTAGAACTTCCCTTGAATGGAGTTATTGTAGCAGCAAGGAAGATCTTAAAATAAAAAAAAGTTTAATAGGAAGAGTCCAAAACAAATGAATATGGACCCACAAATTTGGTGTCTCATTGCATACATCTCTATCAAAATTTGGAAGTTTGGTTGTAATGAGTACCATCTTCATCAAAGTGGATATAGATTTTTCCACTCCCACTAACCAGAAACCAACAGAATAATTTAGATATAGGTTGGTGGGTTACAACCATCAGATCTGCAAATAATAATTAGGAAAGTTACCCATATTTCATCTCATTTCACCTACCAGATAAACCCAACTCGAGTTATACCCATAATTCATTGAAGAAACAGAAAGAAAGACAGAAGGTAAAGTTTTTGAGTAAATTACGAACTTTTGTAGATTCATTCAATCTCTCTAACATAATGCAAGCATATTCAACAAGAAATGCAGTCAATGGTTGAGAAGAAATGAAAAAGATAGTCAAAAGAAAAGTAAAGCAATGAGGATGTTTTAATGATTGTGTGAAGAATGAAAGAGAGGAATGAGTGAAATTGAGGAAGAAAAAGCAAACAAAAGAGCAGGGAAAAAGAATGATGGGCCGAAAGAAATTTTGTGTCTTTGATTCTCTTTCGCTTTCTGTTCCTAATAAGAACATCACCAGCAAACCCATATGAGAAATGAAATGAAGTTGTAGAAGAAGGAGCTGAAATTCAAAGCTTGTGAGTGCAGTGCTCTAATGGTGGACTGAGTGAAAATGGAGGTGGTGGGTGGTTGAGCAGAATCAACTGCAGTACTCTGTCTGTCTGTCTCTCTCTTCTTTCTCTCTCTTCTTTCTCTCTCTTCGGTGTCAGGGGGGAAGGGAAAAGGGAGAGATAATAGGAAGGAAAAGTCTCAAACGGTTAGATTTCAGGTTTTGCAATTCCAAGAAAACAAAAGGGCAGAGGAAAGGGAAGAAGCAGAGGAGGCAGTTAGGACCCACGAATGTATCTCTTTCTCGCATCCTCTGCTTTCGGACCGTTTCTCAGAGAAACAAAAACAACACGAACTCTTTGGCCAAGTCGTCCTCCGCAGATCTCGCAATCCCAGAGGAGTAGGGATAGGGCCATTGGTACGCCAACAACTTAACCCAAAAATGGCTCTGATTTCTTATGAGTTCAAGTCATTTTCCCTTCCTTTTTTCCTCCCTCACATAATGGAGAACACCCTTTTGAGCTGGTGGACGTAGACGTAGGGGTTCCATTTTCCCCTTGCTGAGCCCATTTCCCGATCGGGGTCGATCTCTGTTGCTTTTGCTTCTCTGATCGATGCTGTCGGGATTTGGTGGTTCATGGGTTGCATTAGTTCCAAGCAGGTTACAAAGGCGACAAAATCTCCCGTCCGCAAACGCCGTGCCACCACCACCGCCACTGCCACCGTCGCCGCAAATGGCGCTGCTGTGACCCTGGATCCTTTGTCCAGAACGCACTCTGTGACGACGCTCGATCATGACAATAAAGGGGATAACAAATCGGATGATCGGAATCGAGAACTCAGAAAATCCAAGAAAGAGAGCTCCCAAGGGGTGAAGGCTTCTCATAGCCTCAAATTAGGGGCTTCTCAGCGCAATGTTGAAGCCGAGCAGGTTGCCGCAGGCTGGCCTTCTTGGCTCAGTAGTGCCGCCGGCGAGGCCGTTCACGGATGGGTTCCTCTCCGAGCTGATTCCTTCGAGAAGTTGGAGAAGGTACGAGACCCTGATTTTGGTAGCAGTCTTCATGTTGTTCTTTGTCGTTGTCCTGAAACATTACCAATTCCATTTTGATTCAATTCAACTTGAAGCTATAAAAACTAATGCATTAAATGGAACATTTCCATAAAGGGCCGACTCCCTAGCGATTGATTCTTGTTATTCCGAAAAAAGCCCAACTTCTTCGTAGAGATTGATTCTCATGCAGTTCTAGAACAAGTTGTCTCGATATGGTGCAATGCATCTTCTTTTATGTTCTACGTGTTCTTTGCATTTACTGGAAAGTATATTTTATTGTGTACACATTACCCAGAAGAAAGCTTGTTTTTGAACTAGATTGGACAAGGTACATACAGCAGCGTGTTCCGTGCTCGACAAGTTGATACAGGGAGGATGGTTGCCTTGAAGAAGGTTCGTTTCGACAATTTCCAACCAGAGAGCATTAGGTTTATGGCACGAGAAATCATGATTTTGCGCAGGCTCGATCACCCAAACATCATGCACTTAGAAGGCATAATTACTTCCAAAATGTCTAGCAGCATTTACCTTGTATTTGAATACATGGAACATGATCTTGCAGGCCTTGTGTCTTGTCCTGATATCGAATTCAGTGAGGCACAGGTTAGTAGTTGGTCCACCGTTTTTACTTTGCTCAAACAATACCATTTTGTCAATACATTATTTTTTGTTCTTCATCTGGTTCTGCTCTAATTAGAACAAAAAACAATCCCATTTCCTCTTCCTTCGCCTGCGTTTTTCAGGTCAAGTGTTATATGAGACAGCTTCTATCTGCAATTGAGCATTGCCACCTTCGGGGTATAATGCATAGGGACATTAAAGCATCCAATATTTTGGTAAACAATGAAGGCATTCTCAAGTTGGCAGATTTTGGATTAGCAAATGTCATAAACACAAGAAACAAGCAACTGCTAACAAGTCGAGTGGTAACCTTATGGTATCGCCCTCCTGAGCTTCTGATGGGCTCGACTGATTATGGATTAACCATCGACCTTTGGAGCATAGGATGTGTATTTGCAGAACTGCACCTGGGAAAACCCCTTCTTAAAGGAAGAACCGAGGTAATGGATGCTGGTTTCTAAAAAAGCCTGTCTTTTCGGTTGTTGCGCACTGGTTTGATCTGACATCAATGGAGCAAACAAAACACAGGTTGAACAATTGCACAAAATATTCAAACTTTGCGGCTCCCCACTTGAAGAGTTCTGGAAGAAAACAAAGCTTCCTCATGCAGCTATGTTCAGACCCCAACATGCATACGAAAGTTCCCTGAACGAAAAGTGTAAAGACTTTACACCATCTGCATTGAGCCTTTTGGAAACTTTTCTTGCCATAGAACCTTACAAGCGCGGGACCGCCTCATCTGCTCTCATGTCTGAGGTAACCACAAAAATCTTTCTTAGACATTGTCTTAAAGGCAAGGCATGTCCTGTTTACAATAATCATGATGTTTGGCAATTGATTTTTGTTCCTTACAGTATTTCAAAACCAAGCCATATGCCTGCGATCCATCTACCTTGCCCAAGTATCCACCGAACAAAGAAATGGATGCCAAAAACCGTGAAGATGCACGAAGGTGAACCTTTCACTCTCTTTCACTAACTTGCTCCAAAATCCAATATATCTTCAATATATGCTGAAGAAGAACTAGACCTATGATTTACTTGCAGGAAGAAGGCAAATGCAAGGACAAAAGAACCTGTACCAACACAAAGGGCTAGAAGAGTTAGAAGAAATTTGCCAGAACTCAACGGCCAAAAAGTGCAAGCAAAAGAGGTTTCTCCTTTACTATTCTCCCCTCTTCCCACATTGCTATCAATTCTAAACTATTTACCAACTTTTATGGTGTTTTTCCTTCATAGGATGGAGAAGAAAACATTCAACCTTCTAGGCGGAACAATGGCGGCAATCATTCCAATGAACAAGGTGACGTTTTCCAGAGAGAGTCGCAGAAGCCACTATATGATACAACATCGGAAGCTGCCGCTGCAACTGCACCAAATCAGATAGGAGACAGCGCATTCACAGCCCCAATTCCACTCTCAGCGTCTAGCGGCTTTGCTTGGGTAAAGAAGAGGAAAGAGGAAGCTACATCTACAATATCAGATGGTCTTAAAAGCCAAATAAGTGCTCTGGATCCATCTTTTGCAAATTACACCCTTGAATTCACAAGAAAATACAATGAACATACGAACATTCCAGCCAATTCAGTCACGCAGGACTATGAAATGCGAAAGCAGCAAAGGAGAGTACATGATTTCCCCGAGTCTTTTGATGCATCCGAAGAATCATTCTTGGAGATGTCCAATGAACTCTATCCGAAACAACAAACCATTGTCACAGCACATCTGGTAACCATGCCTCCATTTACTTACAGACTTTAAAAACTTCTTCCTGGACTAACAGTTGATGTTGTTCTCTCGTAAACGAACAGGACAACGATGATACGGAATCACACATTGAATTCTCAGGACCTCTGTTAACACAGCCCCATAGAGTAGATGAACTCCTGCAACGAAATGAAAACCACATCCGACGAGTAGCTCGGAAATCCAGGTTCGAAAGAGGTAAAAACGGGGACTTCTGATTCCAACCCACTTCAAAGAACTAAACCCTCCATTTTTCTTACCAATCAACATTGAAGAACTTTTGTTCTTGTTTCCAGATAAATGATGCATTTATTTTCCGGTGCAATAGTCAGATGATAGACGTACATAAAAACCATACTTAGCAGCAGTTCCACAATCTCATGCCTGCGTCCACAAGGAGAGCTCAAATTGACATTTGCTACCCGACACCAAAAACAAGCCCACGGAAGCAGAAAAGAAGAAGCTTCCACATATATTCATACATTTATTTAAGATGTTCAGACAAATTGAATGAAAAATACCGTCGGATGCAATTGATCAATTATTGGAAATGTGATTTTGAACGTCCATGCATCTTTCTTTATCATCTGATCTGATTGAAACCCGAAAACATATACATACATAATATCAAGTCCAATTTATTCTAGTCCGCCGCTTCATAAAAACAATTATACATTTAAACCCCAAAGTTCGGAAATGTGCTAGTGTAATCATGCAGACATCAAAGAAAGCCTTTAAAATAAAACCCCAATTGAAAGATGAATTCTAATTTACGGGAACAAGAATGAGCAAGTTGTGCTGTAAGAAAAAATCAGTTTGAAAAGGTGGGGAAAAAAAAAAGAGGATTTGAATT